GAGTGTCCATTCCACGGTGCTGTGTCACGGCGGCCCAGGGAACCCCCTCCTCTTAGCCGTGATTGCCTGGACTCAAATCCCTGCCATCCAGGGCTGTGGGGACAGGCGACACGGGCGGCCTGCCTCTTCTGGGGTGCAGCTAGAGGAGACGAGGGGAGACGGAGCCCTACCTCCTCGGCTGCACCCATGCAGGGAAAAACGTCGGGAGTGGAGCTTCCGTCTCATAAGGCTGGGGTTGGGGACAGGAGCACCGTGTGGCCCCAATACCACAGATTCCACTGCTGTCCTGAGACTGAAGGATCCTCCACACCTCTTCCTCCCCTTGCTCTATGCCCTGGGAGACTTCAAATGGTTTTCAAATCTGCTAAATGGCGTTTCGCTGGGTAGGGGTCCCCGTGCTCCTCACTGGTGTTCTGGAAACGACTTTTGCTGAACCGTCGGTGGATTTGGATGCAAGGAGCTTCAGCTCAGAGAAGACCCCATCACTCGGCCTTCCCCTCCTCCCTGAGGACCAGAGTCCTCCCTCGCCTCTACCCCCATCCTCCACTGCAGTGGAGACAACGGGCACCAAGACCCTCCCCTCTGCAGGTCAGCAGCAGGAAGAGGGCAGAGAGAAGTCCTGACCCTCGGCACACAGTGGAAGATGGGCACTGGTGGGACCCAAGGGCACGAGGAAGCAGGGGGCCAATCCCAGGAAATGGAGAAGAGTGGTGGGGGCCAAGGGGAGTCAGGGAGCAGGACTGGGGTGTCCCTCGGGTTTCTCCACATAAGGACAGGGTGAGGGAGTGGGGGGCCGGAGAGGAGGCTGGAGCCAGGCCCCTGCCAGGTGTAAACGGCACACAGCTGGTGCTCACTTAACAGTCTTACTCCCTCTTTCTCTTCTCCAAAGCACACCCTTTCCCCACACGTGGCCTTTGAAGGTTTATTGGATTCAGATATAAGGGTAGGATGGACCCCAGCCAACCCCACTGGTCCACCAGCCTCGGAACCGGGAGGTCCGAGACGTGCTCTGGGTCTTTCCCAAGGGCCCTCATCTCCTCCGAGGGGAAGGCAGAGGTGCCAGGCCCCCTGTGCTCACCCCAGGCCGCCGCGGGCTCAGGGCGCTGTGCTGTAGACGCCGTAGTTGTCCTTCTGGGTGATGTGCAGCTTCCAGGGGAAGAGGCGCTTCTGGGAGGGGAGGCCCTGGGCCTGCTTCACCATGAGCCGCACGTCCTCGTCCGACAGCAGCCTGACGAGGTCCCCCTCGGCGTCCTGGTAGTTCAGGGCGATGTCCTCCCTCTGGAACTCCCGCCTGCGGGGGACAAGTCAGGGCTCATCTGGGGCCTTGGGCGTGAGCAGAGAGGCAGCCCAGGTCTGAGGAGGTCAGCTCTGCGCAGGTCCCACCTCCAGGCGCCCATTGTGCAGACGGGGAAACCGAGGCTTAAAGGGGAGGAGGGTTTTCACATGACTTTGGTGACCTGAGCTGAAGTGTCTTTCAGGCAATGCTAAGGTCCTAAGAACTGTCACAAACAAGAAGAAGCAAGGCTTCGGTGGGCACAGAGCCGAGCAGAGAGAGTCCCAGAAAGAGACGTGCGTGGAGCTGAGACGGGACCTGTCCTGTGCAGGCAGCAGGAAGGCGGC